TGTTCAGAGTCCCGAATGAGATCACGTACATGACGAGGAATCTTGAAATGGTCGACAGATAAAGATTGATATATAGGACGATGGTATTCGAACACCGGAAGTGTTTCGGAGGGTACCGGGTACTTATCGGGTCACCGGAAAGGAGTTTCGGGCACCCCCCCCCCCCAAGGATATGGGCCTTATGGGCCAAGTGAGGGAACACACCAGCCCACTAGGGGCTGGTGTGCCCCTATAGAGGTCGGCCCTATGAGGAGAAGGAAAGAGGGGAGGGAAAGGAAAGCGTGGAGTAGGACTCCCCTTCCTTCCCTCTCCCCTTTCCTTCCACGTTGTTGATACAAGGAAAGGGGCGCAGGGCAAGGTAGGGGCCCTAAGGCGCGCCTGGCTGCCTCCCCTCCTATATATATATATATATATATATATATATATATATATATATATATATATATATATATATATATAGAGAGAGAGAGAGAGAGAGAGAGACACACACACACATATGGGGAGGGAGCGCCACACAAGGACACACAACATTGTCTTAGCGTGTGCGGTTCCCCCGTCCACCGTTTAATCCCTTGGTCATATTTTGTGGTGCGTAGGCGAAGCCCTACGGAGATCACTTCACCATCACCGTCACCACGCCGTCGTGCTGTCGAAACTCATCCACTACCTCGTCGTCTTGCTGGATCAAGAAGGCGCGGACGTCACCGAGCTGAACGTGTGTTGCATGCGGAGGTGTCGTACATTCGGTACTCAATCGGTTGGATCGCGAAGAAAGTTCGACTACATCAACCGCGTTGTGAAACGCTTCCGCTTATGGTATACGAGGGTATGTAGACACACTCTTCCCCCTCGTTGCTATGCATCTCCATGGATAGAATATTGTCTGTGCGTAGAATTTTTTTGTTTTCCACGCAACGATTCCCAACACTGGAGGGTCACTGTTCAGCTGTTGAACGACAGGGTCACTCTCGATCAGGGTTGGGCCACCTTCTCTGTCGTCCATCAGATCAAGATAGGCTTCATGGTGACCTTCCAGTTGTTGACTCCTGACATGCTGAAGGTCATCGTCTTCAATGACGATGGCATTGAGGTGGTGACCAGGTGTGGGAAGCAAGACGACGCCTTCGGCCTGAACGCCTGGGACAATCCATCGTAAGCTCAACTGCTTTAGTTTAATATCAAACTGCTCAGTACTATGTTTGAACTGATATGTTTATGTGTGGCATAATATTTGTGCTTACTACTATGTTCTCTTGTGTGTTATTCCTGACGTCGATGTGTGCTGGTAACCTCATCATAGCATCAAAGAGGTTTTCAGACAACAAGGGTTGCATGCAACCAAACAGCGTGCTTTTGTGTGAGTTCACGCTATGCCGGCAACCAAACACTATGCATTAAGCTATCCCCTAATGCGTGAGAACTAAATGCGGGTAACCAAACAATGTGCAGATGTTGGTTTTCGGCCTGCATTTGCTCAACCAGCAGCATGTGAGTCAGGCTTGAGCTAGACAGGCCCAGCCGCGACGGCTGCCAAACACGCCCCTACAGGTTGGATCTTCTCGATATACAGGTTGGTGCGCTGGTCCTTTGGGAACTTAGCATGACAACTTCCCGACTGTCTATTACAACAAAGTTTGCATGTCTCCAGTGAGGGAGGGGCAATGACGGTGGCGCGTCTTCGGCTCGTTTAAGTGTTTGTAGTTGTCGCTAGATGGATGAACATGGATGTATTTTATTACTTCTCGTGCTTTTGTAACGTTTGATGGAGTAGGTCATAAGTTTTTCAAAAAAAAAATGGTTGCATAAACGAGCTGATGAAGCACGGAAAAGTTGGCCTGTGCCTTGTGGGCTGTGGCGATTGGGCGGAGGATGAGGCGCGTGTGAGCCACACCACGCCAGGCTACACCTTCCTCCGCCGCACACCGCGCCCCCGAACCCCTCTGAAAATCACGAGCGCACATCATCCCCACCGGCCACCGCTCGCATTCTTACAACAGCCATGGCCACGGCGGCCTCGCCGCCGGCGGCAGCTTCCGCTCGGGCGTCGGCGATCCGCTCCCGCGCTGGCCGCCTCTCCCTCCCCGCGGCCCTCCCGGCGGACGGCCGTGGTGACACTGCCACCACCTACAAGGAGCTCGGTAGGTCTGCCTTCGCAGTTGTTTAGTGAATCAATCAATTACACTGATTGGAAATTATATGGTCCTAGATTTTCCATGATTAAGATCAATCCTGAATGTACAGTTCAGTTTGCGTAAAATGTGCCGCCTGAATGCATCAAATGCACGAGCCGTATTTGAACATCTTGCTAAACGACCACTAGCACAGAACGAGGACTAAAACAACTGATTATACTGACATTTGTTGGTTGATTTTATTAAGGTTTGTACTCCTGGAAAAGGAGGATCGAAGATGCGGTTATCCGAGTCGAATTGTCTGCATCCAATGCACTGGAGAGGGAGGAAGCACGGAGAATCAAACATGAAGAAGTACTGCAAAGCCGTAACTTGTGGGACAATCCGGCCAAGTCGCACGAGACGCTCTCTGCCCTGTCCGATGCCATCAGAGCGGTTGATCATCTCAAAGACCTTCTATATAAGGTGCTTGCTTAGATGCATAATGTGAGTTCAGTGAACTGTTTTACTTTGTCCAAAATTTGAACAAAGAAAACAGGCTTTATATAGCACGCTGTTCAGGCATAAGGACCAAGCGTCCATGCTTGAGAAGCAGAATATGGACTAAATGATGTGCCCAGCTAATTGCCTTCACTAATCATTAGAAATTATGAATTAAAGTGTCCTTCCTTTTTTGCTTTGATTCTGAACTATGGAAATGGTAGGTGAGACCTTAGCATATTTTGTTGCTGATGCTCATTAGATATAACTTGCAGGCTGAAGAGGCTAAATTGATAAGTCAACTAGCAGGCATGGATGTCATAAACGGAGAGCTATTTAAGCAAGCATATGATATCTCTTTGGATGCTAGTGAGTTTCTAGATCGTTACCAGATGTACAAGCTTCTTAAGGGTCCATACGACAAGGAAGGAGCTTGTATCATTGTCACTGCTGGATCAGAGGGTTTCGCTTCAGAGGTCGGTTCATTGCAGCGACATTGGATAAGTTAAATATTGATCAAAGCTTGATGATGTTACAAGTAGGCAACACCAATATAGCACTGATCATAATACCACTCTACTTCCTATCATTAGTTTGTCTTTAATTGGATTTATGTACTATGCTATTAAGACAACAAATGTTGATACCTTAAAACAGTAGAGTAAAAAAACCAATCTAAAGGATGGCCATTGATAATATTTCTTCCAAACTTTAGTCCATAGTTATCAGCACTTCAATGATATAGTATAGAAGTACATCTGTCCATGTTTATGTGAACTAGTCGTTTGATCATCCCCACCCTTTTGAAATCCTTTTCTGATTGCAGCTATGGGCAGAGAAGCTATTTGACATGTATACAAGTTGGGCACGCAGGCAAGGTTGCAAAGAAGGACTGGTAGAGAAGATCGCATCAACAAGTGGTCATACCCAGTTTGCAGCGATGGAGATTGAATCAGAGTACATGTTTGGCACCCTTTCTGGAGAAAAAGGAATTCACAGAATGATCTACTCTACTGTTGAAAATTCTGGCACTGACAAGGTGATTCCATTTTATATTCCTATTTGTTACGATATTTCTCAGTACAAACAATTAAACACAAAGGTTACATCAATAAAACCTTAGTCGTACTTCCAGAACCATTTCAATAGAGCAGACTCGTGTGCATGTTCTGAATATATCTATGTCAGCGAGCTATTACAAAATACAGAAGTGCCACCTAGATACTGAGTAAAAGACATAAGTATGTCACGCTCCCTAAAGAATTGGAGAAAATTAGGACATGGACTTCAATGCAAATTTTAAATGTTCAAATTAAATTCACATTGTCTTACACCCAATTATGTTGGTGCAAATCAGAACCCACAATATGCATTCTGTGAAGTCCCACTTGTGACCTTTGGCCTCTGGGTTCTAGAATGTTAAGTCTCCCCAATTCAAATCCTTCTCATTTACTTTTCTGGAGAAACTGTGGTACGATGTTCTGGAGGCCCAGATTGTGTGTGCAATTTCTGGCATAACCTTCTCCTTGTGCATTTTGCATCAGAAGGCATTTCACCATGATCTTATCCTTGCGATGCTTGATACTATAATGGATTTATTTTTATCATGATTTTTTCCTAACAATGCTTCATATCAGAATGGCTAACTCTAAACCTACCAAAGCTTCCAGGCGATTTCAGCTAGAGTCGATATTATTCCTCTCTTCTTGGATAGACCAGTTAATTTTCACTTGGACGACAGCGATCTGGAGATTTCTCCACGACCAAGTGAATGTGAAAATCGAGATCGAAGAAATGGTGCCACTGTGAGAGTTCAACACATACCAAGTGGAGTTACTGCCGAAAGCTCAGGTAATGGGCACAAATGTGGAATGTTCATGCAAGTGGGAATCCTCATATAGCTGCAGGCTAAATTTACTGGGGTGATCTGTCCACAGGTGAAAGAAGCTATTTTGCAAACAAGCTAAAAGCCGTGAGCAGGCTGAAAGCAAAGCTACTCATCATAACAAGAGAACTAAGACTACCAGACCCGAAGATGATCGGAAAACAAGCCGTGGAGGAAGGATGCAACCGCGAGACGAGACGATATACGTTTGGCCCCCAGGAATTGGTCCATGATCTGAACACGGGCATCCAGTTGTCAGACCTCAACTCGGTCCTGGAAGGCGACATCGAACCGTTCATCAGGGGTCGTATTGTTTCAAGACATGGATGACGATATGCAAGAATTTGTGTGCAGTTCTGTAAATCCATTTTTGCTGATACAAATATAGCACATTACCAGAGGATGACCTCTGTAACATGGGTCACATTTCAAGCCAAAAAGGCAAATATACCAGGTATAGGAAAGCATGTTCTCTCACCAGCCGCTTACTCTGACAATCCGACTCATCGTGTACCGGATGCAGATGCTCTTTCCCTGTCAAGCTTGCGAGCGTGGGCGTGCACGGCGCGCCAGTGCTCGTCGAACGCCGCCTGGTGCTTGTCCTGCAGCCCCCTCTGCCGGTTCAGCGCGACGCCGAGCGCCATCATGGCGTGGTCCTGGCAGTCGATCTTCGCCGGCGCGAGTAGGTGCTGGGGGATGTGGCCATAGTGCTGACTGCCGTCGGCCTCTATGTACGGCAGGAACGACAGTGCGTAGAGGACGGCCCCGAGCCAGTACTCGGAGAGGCTCCTCCAGTTCTTCACCCGCTCCACCATGTGCGCCGGGCAGCGTTGCACATCATGTGGCCGAGCACGCCGCCGACACTCCTGAACCTGACGGCCTCACAGACCATCACCGACATGGTCATCGGCGATCTCACGATCTCCTGCTGGGTGCCGGCGTTGGCCGTGACGCGCTCCGCCGCGGCTTCGAGCTCCTCCTTGCCGAGGGTGAGTGCCTCAAGTGCCGTCTTGGCCACTCTCGCCATATCGCCGTAGCTACCGGCGAACGAGAGTGGCGCCGCGCCGTCGATTAGGGAGCCACCGAGGAACTCGGACCATAGACCTTCCGGGCTCCGGTAACCGGAGATGTAGAGGTTGTCTGCGCGTATCCGGAGTAGCACTGACTTCCCGGAGCCGCATCTGAGCGTGACGCCGTACCATGGGGCCTTGCGTGGGTCCTGTCAGGTCCAAAGCTCAGAATCAAGCAATTTAACTACCAGAGCAACAAATTTAGGAGGAGAACAGGAGCTTCAAACTAGGGTTATTGCTAAGAAATGGGGAAAATAGGGTCAGCACGCCACTGGCGGCTAGGGTTTACACCCAATACAAGAAAATCATACCCACACTCCGGGCAGAGGCTGGCTTTATAGCCATTACACTATAAAGCAAAAGAAAGTGAAAAGCAGAGTACATGGCCCTGTCGGATAAGCTACAACTAAGTGAAAGCACCATGGCCGCTGGATGGTAGATCGACGAAGGAGAGATGCCATCATCTGATGAACCGTTATCAACCCCTCCGAACCACACGATGAGAAATCTACGGCTAATAACACTTCCGGCACGCAGGAACAGGGGAGGATATAAACATGGCCTAACAAGACCCCCCAATTGAGCCTGAGCTTGTCCTCAAGCTCTGAACGCAGGGAAAACTTTCTGGATAAATGCCGAATCCTCCCAAGTAGCTTCCTCCACTGGCAGATTTGTCCACTTGATTAGCCACCTGACCACTGGGATACTGATATTCCCTTGCTTCTGAGAGATCAGTGCTCTTTCTAGAACTGCTTCCGGTTCAATCTTGATAACACCATCAGGACCAATGAGTGGTAGGATGGTAGAAGGAACAACTATTGGCCCAACGTGCTATTTCAACTGGCTGACATGGAAGACATCATGTAACTAACAGCCCTCTGGTAATAGCAACTTATAAGCATGTTTCCCAATTCTGTTAAGTACTCTGAATGGCCCATAGAACTTGGAATGGAGTTTAAGATGCCTATGTAAACTGAGAGACGTGTGTTTGTAAGGTTGCAACTTTAAATACACCATATCTCCCACTGCAAACTCTCTTTCCTTCCTCTTCTTATCAGCAAAGTGCTTCATTCTGGACTAGGCTTTGATAAGGTTTTGTTTGATCACTTCAATGGCCAGCTCTCTGTTATGCAGTAAATCCTCATTGTCTTCACAAATAGCATCTCGTAGTGCTGATTCTGTTATCATTGGGGGAGGAAAACCATACAGGGCTTGAAAGGGTGTCATCTTTAGTGATGTGTGGAAAGAAGTATTATACCACCATTCTGCTAGTGCCAGCCATCAATGCCGCTTCCTAGGCTGCTGGAAACACATACACATCAAGTAGTTTTCCAAACACTGATTGACTCTTTCTGTTTGACCATCAGTTTGTGGGTGATAACTTGTGCTCATGTGCAACTTGATTTTCAGAGACTTGAACAGTTGCTGCCACAAATTGCTTGTAAATATTATGTCTGTGTCAGTTACTATCATTAAAGGCATGCCATGTAATCTGAATACATTATCAGAGAATGCTCTTGCTACATATTGCACTATTATTGGATGTTTCATAGCAATGAAGTGGGAATACTTAGTAAATCTATCAACCACAACCAGGATCAAATCCTTGTTTTCATATTTAGGCAATCCCTCCACAAAATCCATGCTCACATGTGCCTAAGCAAAATCTGGTACAGGTAAAGGCTCTAGTAATCCAGGATAGGGAGTGTGCTCAGCCTTGTTCAACTGACAAACAGGGCATGCTTTCACAAAAGTCACCACATCTTGTTTTAGACCCTGCTAATGGAAAATCAACTTCACTCTCTGGTAAGTTGCTCTTTCTCCAGAATGGCCTCCAAGTTCTGAATTGTGGAAAGTTTGTAGGATTTCCTGCTTGAGGTTGGTAGTTGATCCAATAACAATCTTGTTATGAAACCTGAGTATCCCATGCTTAAATGAATAAGCATTTTTGCTGGTTTTGTCCACAGTACACTCAGCAATAAGTTCCTTAATCTTATCATCTCTGTTGTAACTGCTTATTACCTCCGTTGCCCAAGTTGGAGTAACAACAGTTGCACTTAAGGAAGAAATCATGTGCTTCACTCTAGATAATGCATTTGCAACCTTATTTTCCTTCCCCTTTTTTTATTCAACTGTGAAATTAAAGCCCAACAGTTTAAGTAACAATTTATGTTGAATGCCTTCAGTGATTTTCTGCTCTTGAATATATTTGAGACTCTCTTGATCAGTTCTGGTTACAAGGGCAGTTGCTCAGAAGTAGTGCTCCCATTTTTTAACAGCTTCAATTATGGCCAAAGCTTCCTTGTCATATGTGCTCATAGCAGCTGCTTTAGGACCAATACTCTTGTTGAAATAAGATATAGGCGTTCCTTCTTGCATCAATACAGCTCCCAGTCCATAACCGCAAGCATCAGTTTCCAGAATAAAAGGTTTGGAAAAGTCTGGAAGAGCCAACACAGGTGAGTTTGTGAGCTTGTTTTTTAAAGCTTCAAATGCTTGTTGTTGTTCCTCTTTCCAAGCAAAACCATATTTCTTTAAGCAATCAAACAGGGGTCTACAAATTACTCCATATCCCTGAATGAATCTTCTGTCATAACCACTTAGCCCTAAGAAACTTCTCAACTCAGTCACTGTAGTAGGAGCTGGCCACTCCTTGGTGGCTTGTATTTTGGATGGGTCAGTAGACACTCCATCTGAATTAATTACATGGCCCAAGTATTCAACTTCATGTTTGCCAAATGAGCACTTTTCCATTTTTGCATACAGATTATTTGCTTGTAATATTCCAAATACTTGCTTTAAGTGGCTCTTGTGCTCTTCCATAGAAAAGTTGAACACTAAAATGTCATCAAAGAAAACCACAACAAACTTGAGATGTCCAAACAAGAAGTTCATTAAGGCCTGAAATGTATGAGGGCCATTAGTCAGTCCAAAGGACATAACCAGAAATTCAAACAACCCCATATGTGAGTTGTGAATGCAGTTTTGGGTATATCTTCTTCAACCATTCTGATTTGGTGGTACCCATTTCTGAGATCAACTTTGGAGAAAATCCTTGCTCCTTTGAGTTGGTCCAAAAGGTCTTCAATAACTGGTATGTGGTATTTGTTTTTAACAGTAATAGCATTCAATTTTCTATAGTCAGTACAGAGTCTTCATGAGCCTTTTTTTTCTTCACCAACAGCACAGGAGAGGAAAATGGACTGGCGTTAGATCTGATCACTCCATTTCTCAAGAGTTCCCTAATTATTTTCTCCAAAATTTCCTTTTGATGATGAGGAATTTTGTATGGCCTTTGATTCACAATTTTAGCCCCCTCTACTAAAGGAATTCTGTGGTCACAAGGCCTGCTTGGAGGTAGTTCAGTAGGTTCCTGGAACAACTTCTCATACTGGTCTAAAAGGGGTTGTAACTCTGCAGGAATTTCTTGGTTATTTGTTGTTAACTCAAGACCAGTAGTAGTAAACAAGAAAAAGCCACAAACAGCCTGTTCCAACAGCTTTTTAGTGTTATCTTTGGCCTCAACCACAGGGGTTATAGGTACAGTTTCATCCACAAATGTTAAGAACTGCCCAGTGTTGTCAGAGATTTTCATTTCCATTTTGATAAAGTCCATTTGAATTGGACTATACTTCCTAAGCCAATCCACCCCCAAAATCATGGCATACCCCTTCAATTTCAAGACTCTGAAATTATACAAAAGTGATGACCTTGAATTTCATAAGCACATTTTTTTGCTTGGAATTCAGTCCATAGTACCCCTCCACTTGCAACCACTACTTTGATTTTTGGTGTTGGGCTTGGTGCAACTGGTAACTTACTAGCCATTCCTGGGGCTATGAATGTTGATGTACTGCCACTGTCCACCAATGTTGTGGCAACAGTATTTCCAACTTTTACTGTTAACATACAAGTGTTTCTTGCTGCTCCTATGCCCATGGCAGCATGCATTGACAATTTTAACACAGCCTCATCAGATAGTTGCTCAGTTGCTTCCAGATCAGGGTCATCAAAATTTGTTACAAAAATTTCTCAGGGTTTTCAGTGTCTTGCACCTGTAGTACTTGTATCTCAGCTCTCTGACTCATTTTGCAAACCTTCATGTGGCCAGGTACCCAGGGTTCTTTACATTTGTAACACACTTGATTTTGCTTTGCCTGCTGAATAACAGTATTCCTGTTTGGTGTTGCTAGTGGAACAGTGGTTTTGGGCTGCTCAAAAATCACTTGTCTTTTGGGCTGAGGCATGTATGGTTTTGTTTGCACAGGAGGGGTGATAGGCTGTGCTTTTTCCATCCTCCTAGCATTCCAGACTGCAGCTTGCATGTCCTTAGGTTAAAAACACTCAACATGAATTTTAATATATGGATTTAATCCTGACACAAAGCTGGAAACATAGTAATCATCAGGGATTCCTGGGTTTTCTCTTCTCATGATATTCATTAATTGCTCAAACTGTTCCACATAGGCAGTAACTGTAGTAGTTTGCTCTGCTGCACGGAAGGAACTAACAATATCACAGGCGGAATCTATAGAAAACATGTCAGGCAAATAGGAACAAAACTTATGCCATGGAACATTGCTTGGAGAATATCCAGTTCCTCTCCACCATTGAATAGCGGGTCCTTTGAGATAAGATATGGCCAGCTCTGTTCTATGTTCAATAGGAGTTCTGGCTGCAGCAAAATATTGTTCCAGATTCTGAATCCAAGACTCAGGGTCTTGCCCTTCAAATTCAGAGATTTTAAGTTTTGTTGGTTTCACAGTGAGAATATTCCTCCGACCATCAACTGGGGTATTGGGCATTCTCCTATATATGTGGTCCGCTGTCTCTTTTTCAGGTATGTCATCAAGCTGCATTACATTGTTTGGTGATGTTTCCTTTGCTTGACCATAGTTTGGGTGTCTGTAAGGTACCTTAGGTGTATCCAAATGTAGTTCTTTGCCCGTGTGGTCTCTCAGAGTTGCTGTTCCAATTGGCAAAGGAGCAACTTTTCAGGCATTACCACAGACGGTGGGGTAGGAACTTGGAGTTGTTTGGGCCTGCCCGGGGCTACCCTAGGTGAGTTGATCTGGTTGTCCTTCAGATGAACACTGCCTTGGCCCTCCTCCACTTGATCTGCATGTGCTGGCTCAGGATCTAATAGCAGACGCCTGAAGTTCTCTTGGATTTTGTCGAAGTTCTTCTGCATTGTTGCAAAGTTTCTGTTTACTGTTGCCTGAAATTGCTGAAACTCCTTGCGATCTTCCTCTTTGTCCTGCTAGAGCGTCTTGGTGTCCAATTCAAGGGATTCTAGCTGTAGTTCAGCTGTTGACCCTGAATCAGTCGGGCCCGTCATCTTGAAATCATCGGCAATCACCACCATAAAGGGTTGGGAGGGTGGGAGGACAGGTCACCGCCGCCTGCGCCCGCCTCCGATGGTACACGATCAGGTCACAGGAGTTGGGGTTTTACCACCTGAGAAATTTTCCCCGGCAACCAGACTGTTTCTGATTGTACCCGAATACTGCCACTCCGGCTGCCACATGATGTCGCCGCCGCCAGATTAGGGTGAGGAGAGGGATTTTACAGCCGCAACCAACCTCTACTACGCCCCAATCGATCACACCGCCGAGGAAGGACTGGCTCTCAATACCAATTGTCAGGTCCAAAGCTCAGAATCAAGCAATTTAACTAGCATAGCAACAAATTTAGGAGAAGAACATGAGCTTCAAACTAGGTTTCTTGCTAAGAAATGGGGAAAATAGGGTCAGCACACCACTGGCGGCTAGGGTTTACACCCAATACAAGAAAATCATACCCACACTCCGGGCAGAGGCTGGCTTTATAGCCATTACACTTTAAGCGGAAGAAAGTGAAAAGCAGAGCACATGGCACATGGCCCTGTCGGATAAGCTACAGCTAAGTGAAAGCACCACAGCCGCTGGATGGTAGATCGACGAAGGAGAGATGCCATCATCTGGTGAACCATTATCAACGCCTTCGAACCACACGATGACAAATCTACAGCTAATAACACTTTCCGGCACGCGGGAACAGGGGAGGATATAAACAGGGCCTGACAGGTCCTCTTCTTGTGGAGGAAGCAAGACGAGCTCCAGGTGGCGCGTCTGTCAGGCCGCGATATCTGAAGATTTACATTCAGTTAACTGTGGCAATTCCGGCACATAATGATTCGGGAGATCCAACGGCCTAGATTGGCTCCTCAAGCTACGCGCGTCGCCAGCTGTTAGTTTGCTTTCCGTTACTGTTACTTTTCATGTGTCTTTGTCGACAGCGAGACAACCACCTACTTAACAGCCGGGTTGTGGCTGATCGGGATATCGAATCTTCTAGATTTCCCTTCGAGGATGAACCCTAAACTCATACGGCATAGCCTATAGTAATATATGCCCAGATTGGGGCCTCTTTCCTCGCAATTCTCTGAAATTCTTCCATACAAACCGTTTCTCTGAACCTGTAGATCATCTAGGACCTGACAAATTGGTATTCAGAGAAGTGGTTCCTCGGTAGCTTCTGATCCACTCTAAATTTTTGCAAGAGAGGCAAGAATACCCACCCAATTCCCTCCCTGTGTTGTGTGGCGATGGCTGGCGGCGATTGATGTGCACGGTGAAGGTGTTCCTTGACTACGACATCAGGCGGCGGCGGATCCAGGGCGGCGCAGGAGGCGGTGATCGTTCGGGTACAGATCAGTAGCGCAGAGTGGTTGTGCGGGATCACTTCCAGCAAGGTAAAATCTCACGTCCTTCGTTGATCCGTGTACCTTGGGAGGCATGGAGCGTTGGCGGTGGCATGATCTGGTTTGGAGAGGTTGGTTGCCGCATTTGCGGTGGTAAAATTCCTCCTCTCTTCTCTGGATCAAGGCGATGGGGCGCACGAAGGCAGTTGATGAGGCCGAGTGGCAGGAGGTCCTCTCACTCCGAGATGAATTTGGTGCAGTGCAACAGGAAAACGCAGCGATGCGAGCAGACGTGTCAAAATTACAAGAAGATGTTCAGTCCATCAGTTCCAAACAAGATGACATAGCACTGCAAGTTGGAGGAATTGAAAAGGATGTGTTAGATCTGGCAAACAATTATCCACAATGAGTTCAGTCTTGCAGAAATTGGTAGCTCCATCCGGGTCAGGCACTAGAACTGAGCAACAACCTGCAGTTGACACTGTTGTTAGATCCCCAACACTGCAACAACAACAACAGGACAGGCCATCTAGCAGAACTGCACAGCTGAGACAACAATTAGAAGCAGAACAAGAAAAGACTAGACAAATGGAAGAATTTCATATGCAGCAACTACCTCAGATCAGAACTGCCAGAACTGCACCACCACCTGGGTTTGGAACTCAAGCTAACTTGGAAACAGCTAGTGCTATTGGAACACTAGTAACACAGAGAAGGGGAAGTCACACTCATGTTTTCCAACAGTATCAGCAACCATCTCGAGACAGGCAATTGTGGCAGGGCTACTTCAGAACCTATGAGCAGGATATGCAGGCTCAATTCATGAAGGCCATGACAAAAGGTCCAAGGATGGATTTTCCTAGATTCTCTAGTGAAGATCTTGTGGGTTGGATCAGACAGAGTAACAAGTATTTCCAAATGGCAGCAGCACCTGAAGAGTACAAGGTATCACTTGCCCAGATGTACATAACAGGAGATGCTGATGTATGGTTGAGAAGATTTGGTTTACTCAAGAAACAATTGTCCTGGCAAGAATTTGGAAAAGAAATCATCAAGAGATTCTCTGCCCAAGGCTCTTACGATCTCACTGACAAATTCACTTCTCTTAAACAAGGAAGCACTTCAGTGTCTGAGTACACCAAGTTATTTGAGGATTTAATGGCTGAACTGCAGGAAGAAAATCCTACACTGTCTGAACCCTGGTTTATTAAGTGCTATGTGAATGGGATGAGAGATGGAATAAAATACCAATTAAGACTTCTTAGACCCACTTCTCTAACTGATGCATACTGCTTGGCGAAGGAGATTGAACCTTGTCACCCTCCTCCTGTGACACAGGTTAAGAAGTCCACAATTCCTTACAATAACTACTGGCAGAAAAATGTAACACCTGCAGCTGGCAAATAAGTGATCAACACTGTAGTAGTCCCAACAACTACTCCACAAAGAACACTGGACATGTTAACAGCCAAATTCAGAAAAGCAGAAAAGTTGGGGAGTGTTGGAGATGTGGTGATAAATGGTTCCATGGCCATAAATGCACTCTAGTTCCTAATGTGCACATGTTACAACAAGAAATGGAAGAATCTGGTCCAGAAGAGACAGAACCTGATCAACAGAAAGTAATGGAAGAAGGAACAGAACAACATGAGCAAGCAATGTTTATATCTGCACATGCTATTGGCCAGCAGCTTGATGTGCAATCTCCTACAGTAATTATGCATGTTAATGGAAAAAGGGCAGTAGCATTACTGGATACAGGAAGTTCAACCTCTTTCATCACTGAGCAGTTTGCTATTAAATCAAACTTTCAATTACTCCCTGTTAAGCCTAGAAAGGTTTCTGTAGCTGGAGGAGGTCTGCTGCTTTCTGTTGCTGTAGTTCCAAATTGTGTTTTTCAACTGGCCAAACTGAAGTTGGAACACTCTTTCAGAATTCTCAACCTCCCTAGTCATGATATGATCCTAGGGTATGATTGGTTTTCATTGGTTAGTCATGTGGCTTTTGATGTGCCACACAATTAGTTTAGTTTCACTCTCTAAGGGAAAACAACAGTCACAACAGCAGTTTACAACTCCAATGAGGAAATCCTGGAAATACCAGCAGAACAAGTAACTAAGTTGTTGGACAAGGGTGTGGAAACTTTTCTTCTCCAAATTCACAATATAGTGGCTCAAACTCCTGAAAAGCACTGTATCCCAGCTGCAATAAACAACTTGTTACAGGAGTACAAGGATGTTTTTGCAGAACCAACAACATTACCTCCCAAGAGAGAATTGGACCATAAAATCCCCTTGATGCCAGGAGTGGATCCACCTCATGTAAGGCCATATAGAGTCCCTCACCATCAAAAGGCAGAAATGGAAAAACAGATCAAACACCTACTGGATAATAAGCTCATAAGGAACAGTCAGAGTCCATATGCAGCTCATGTTCTTCTAGTCAAAAAGAAAGACGGTACTATGATGTTGTACTGGTTTTAGAAAGTTGAACACGGTGACAGTGAAGAACAAATTCCCTATACCAGTTATTGAGGATCTACTGGATGAGTTGCATGGAGCAAAGATTTTTTCCAAAATTGACCTAAAGTTAGGATATCATCAGATAAGAATGGACCCTGCAGACATTCATAAAACTACATTCAGAACTTTTCTGGGGCATTATGAATATTTGGTGATGCCCTTTGGATTATCTAATGCACCAACAATATTCCAAGCTCTCATGAACTTCTTGTTTGCTAAGTACAACAGGAAGTTTGTACTGGTATTCTTTGATGATATCCTAGTGTTCAGCAATACTGTTGAAGAGCATGTGGAACATTTAAAGCAAGTGCTGCAAATCTTGAAAGAAAACCAGTTGTTTGCCAAAATGTCCAAATGTGCTTTTGCAGTTCCTCAAGTGGAATATTTGGGACATGTAGTTTCTGGAGAAGGATTAGCTACTGAGCCCAGCAAGATTAAAGCAATTGTGGGCTGGCCTACACCCACTGATATCACTAAGTTGAGAAGTTTCTTGGGCCTAGCTGGTTACTATAGAAGGTTCATCAAAGATTATGGAACAATTTGCATGCCATTGCATGATGCTCTTAAGAAAGGAAAATTCCTGTGGACAGCAGAGCAAGATAAAGCTTTTAAAAAATTACAACAAGCTTTGGTAACAGCCCCAGTACTGGCCCTGCCCAATTTCAATGTCCCTTTTACATTAGAAACTGATGCTTCAGGCTATGGCATTGGTTATGTACTTATGCAAGAGGGCAGACCATTGGCATACTACAGTTCTTCACTCTGTCCAAGAAATGCTGCCCTATCTACTTATGAGAAAGAAGCTCTAGCAATCCTGGAAGCTTTAAAGAAATGGAGACATTACTTACTGGGAAATTCGGTAATCATCAAAACTGATCAGCAGTCCTTGAAATTCATAACTGACCAAAAGATTAATGAAGGAATACAACACGAATTAATGATGAAGTTGCTAGAGTCCAATTTCACCATTCAGTATAAGAAGGGCATTACCAACAGAGTAGCTGATGCTCTGTCTAGAGTACTTCCCAAATGCATGTCTATATCCACTGTTACTCCTGAGTGGGCAAAGGAGTTGCTCAGTAGCTATCAAACTGATCCAACCACAAAGAAACTGCAGGAAAAATTGCTAGTACAATCTCCTGAGGACAAGTCTGATTACTCCATACATGCTGGTATTATCAGATTCAAAGGAAAAATTCTGGTGGGAAATGACAGCAGTTTGAGGGAGAGATTGATTTCTGCTCTACATAACTCACCTGTGGGAGGACACTCAGGTATGAGAGCTACATATCAGAGAGTGAAAGGAATTTTCTATTGGCCAGGTCTTAAACAAGTTGTGGAACAGTTCATAGCTACTTGTCCTATCTGTCAGAGAGCAAAGCATGACAATTGCTCACAGCCAGGACTTCTAGATCCTTTACCAGTTGCTGACATGGCTTGGCAGCACATATCAATTGATTTCATAGAAGGCCTTCCCAATTCCCAAGGAAAGGATGTGATACTAGTGGTAGTTGACAGGTTCACCAAGTACTCTCATTTCATACCTTTGTCACATCCTTACACAGTCCAGAGTGTAGCTCAAGCCTTTGTAGATAACATTATCAAACTTCATGGACCTCCAACACTCATTATCTCTGACAGAGATAGGATCTTTACCAGCCAACTGTGGAGAGACATCTTTGCTGCATACAAAAGTGAACTAAGATATAGTTCAGCCTACCACCCACAAACGGATGGCCAAACCGAGAGGATAAATCAGTGCTTGGAAACATATTTAAGGTGTATGACTACACAAGAGCCAAAGAAGTGGTTAGCATGGCTACCCCTAGTTGAATATTGGTACAATACCAGTTATCATACAACCCTGAAAATGAGCCCCTTTCAAGCATTATATGGATTTCCTCCCCCATTGATTGCTGAATTAGCAATACCTGGACCTGATAATGAGGAAGCACGGGACTTCTTAATAGCCAAGCAGAATATGTTGCACCAATTGAAAGAAAACTTGCTGCAAGCTTAGAATAGAATGAAAAGGTATGCAGATCTGAAAAGAGTGGAGAGACAATTTGAAGTTGGTGATTTGGTATATCTTAAGATGGCACCATACAGGCTTGCAGCATTTGGTTTCAGAGGCGCAATCAAACTACACAACAAATACTATGGTCCATTCTTGGTGATCCAGAAAATTGGCAACAGTGCTTATAAGTTGCAATTTCCAGAACAGGTGCAAATGCACCCAGTTTTCCATGTCAGTCAGTTAAAAAAGCACTTGGGTCACAAGTCCATTCCCAGGCCGCACCTACCAATGGTGAATGTTGATGGCACCATCAAAACAGAACCGGCTCAAGTATTGGAAGTCAGACAGGTCCCTCGCAAAAACGTGCCAGTGGTACAGTGGCTGATCCAATGGGCAAATCTAACAGCGGAAGATGCAACCTGGGAAGATGCAGAGTTCATCAAACACGTCTTTCCGGCGTTCTTTCGGAGCACAACCGAAGCCTGGAGAATCAACAACAAAACACCATGAGGACACGCCGGCTCTTCAGGAGGGGGTAATGTCAGGCCGCGATATCTGAAGATTTACATTCAGTTAACTATGGCAATTCTGGCACATAACGATTCGGGAGATCCAACGGCCTAGATTGGCTCCTCAAGCTACGCGTGTCGCCAGCCGTTAGTTTTCTTTCCGTTACTGTTACTTTTCATGTGTCTCTGTCGACAGCGAGACAGACACCTACTTAACAGCCGGGTTGTGGCTGATCGGGATATCGAATCTTCTAGATTTTCCTTCGAGGATGAACCCTAAACTCATACGGCATAACCTATAGTAATATATGCCCAGATTGGGGCCTCTTTCCTCGCAATTCTTCCATACAAACCGTTTCTCTGAACCTGTAGATCATCTAGGACCTGACAGCATCGCCCCGGCGTGGAGCACGAGCTGGTCGCGCACGCTGGAGACGAAGCTGCCGTAGGTCAGCACGCGGCAGTGGGTCATGCACATCATCGCAGTAGTTTACTACACTTGTTGACCTGGGCTAGCTTGACATCGTAGTGGTTTTTTTTTCGAAACGGAGGCAAAGATTGCCTCATCTATTAATAAAGCAGAAGAGAATTGCCCAGTTAATTATGGAAAATCGGGCAAAAACCGAAACAACAAGGGCCAAGCCCACTCCCATAAACTGAAACACACAGGGCAAAGCCCACCCTCATCGACGACTTGTCGACCTGCGGACAGACAACGCAGCTCCGATTCTGACGAAAAACTCAGAAGAACGAAACCAGGCACGGCTGGCGCCACAGAAGATCGCCGAAAGGCCACAAGCAGCCAGTCATCGTACACCACAGGGCCTCGCCGCCGCAGCTTCGACTCCATAGCAACAAACAAACCGAGGCAATACCGTGGACACGCCGGAGAAGAGCCGACTATCGCAACCATTGCTGCGTCACCGACATCGCTCCCACCATCGTAGTGGGTTGTGAAATCGTGCTTGTCTGACTGGTTTGCTTATTTTACCGTTTGGCTAAAATACGTTTCTACTACCTTCTTTTTGGGGGGCAACGATGCTGCAACCGCAAACTAAGTAACAAGGCCCAGTAGGTTAATCACTTGACCAACATTCAAAAACCAAGGGAAGGGTGCGCGTTGCAGGAGAAGTCAAATTTAGCCTTCGATTCAGCGATTGCAAGATGCTGGCAACACATGTGCATTTCAGAGGAAATCCTCGGATAAAACATGGGCAACCGGAACCTTGGCTAGCCGAATTTACGCAAGGAGCAAACCAAATAGGCCCAACGCTGAAAAACGTAATCAAACTGCACAGCTAACCCGTCTGCCAGCTAGCATAATCGGCAATGTTCAGAGTCTGCCACACCATATAATCAAATTTCCGGTGGCACATGAATACAGAAAAACGTCATGAACAAAAAGGGTTACGCATATCCTGGACAAAAACAAACATAAGTATACACGGTACCATAGAATCCTGACAACGGAACATCCTTTTTTTCACTATCATGTTCTCACAATGTCATAGCATCTTCATGCTATCATGTCGCTTAAATGCTGTGATGGCTCCAAGAGAGTGCCTCAGTAGGGTCTGTAGCGCGGTTGTACTCTTGATCTGCTGCTACTTCCACTGGGACCATAACCATACTGAAACGTGAGAAAGATTTGTTAGCCAATATTTCGCAACTCACAAGTGATAATCGAGAAAGTCGAAGAGCGAGTGGGAAACTAATTTGAAGCCTATGCCGCTTCACAAAAATATACATGAAGAAGATGAAAACAGTAGTAGCTTTAGTTACTGCTCTCTACTTACATCATAACCAAGACTGCCAGAGAACTGGCCATAAGACATCATCGGGCTGTAAGCTCCATATGGCCCAGGTGGTTCCATGTACCCGCCTCGACTGGGGCCACCCTCCACGGGTGCAGCTGAGTCTACAGCAACCTGGGGAGAAAACACAAGGCAGATCAATGAATTAATCTCCGCACTGGCATTTTTTGCAGGCTGAGCTGAGGCAATGGCTCTTGTTGTCTCACCTCCTGTCCCAAAATTTCATGACTTCTTCGCGCTACACGATCTGCTACACCGTCCTCAGCAAAAGTAACAAAACCAAAACCACGGTGGCCGCTCTTTTTTGGATCCTACGATAGCACTAGGGTTTGTAAGTTGTCAAGAGACTAAACACTACCAATAATGATGGGAGAGCCAAACCTTTGGAATGTATGCATCCACAATTCTGCCAAATCGGCCAAAATAATCCCATAAATCATCAGTATTTGCTTCTTGTGGGAGTCTACCAATGAATATCTTTTTGCTTGATACAGGGGGCTCATTCAAGTATCCTCCTAGCCAATTTTGATGCAATATTCAGTAACAATCGATTGTTTCCAAGTCAAAATATCAGGCAAAGTGTAGAGCTCAAGACTTACTTCCATAAGCTGGCCCAGGATGATCATACAGTGTTGGTACGCCCAGAGCTGCATATCTGGTAGCAGCTGTAATGTATGCATTGTATGAGCCATAACCACCCTCGCCCTGTGCTCCTCCCCCCCTCCTTGGAGGGTGCCTCACTTCTTCATCCTGCTATGTAGGAGGGAAAGCAATATCGTAAATGGATAACTACAGCACCAGTGTGAGGCTACCACAGCCCTTGTCCTTGATCTCTTTATCTCTCTTTAATGAAGTAAACCTAATCTCAAAATGTGTGCATGTCTGTGCAGTATTCAAACAGCTCTGTTGAGCAATTATTGTGGTTGTGTCTCATATGGGATCACCAAGCCATAACACTATAATCATGTGCTTTTCACATCCCTGAGTATAATCATGTGCTTTTCACACCCCTGAGTGTTTCGATTTCTTCGTTCCAAAGAAGCCCTTTATAGGATCATGGTCGTATCCGAATGCTAATTGTAGCATCTTTAGGATCATGATCCTGCGGACCTACATTTGTAAGCAAAATTTAGCATTTAGTCTGTGTTTATGTTCTTTATATGCTTTCATACTGCCTCCATTTTCCAGTACATTGAAAATGTATCATTTATTACTGTTAGATGCTACAGTTCTTCATTAATTCTACCATTACAACAATTTTCAACCTGTATAGAAACATTTGCTCGTACAGGTTCATCAAACAAGAAAAGCATATACATTTGCTATGACCTTCCAACTTCTTAAGTAACACATTAATACATAAATAAAGATAAAAAGGGTACATAGTTATAATGAATTGTATTGTATGCATTATTACTTCCTCAAATTTCATAAAATTGGTCGTTTTGGACATAGCAAAGTCAAACTTCAAAAACTCTGACTGCATATGTATCTTCAAAAATGTTCAGATTGGACACATGATAATCATACATATAGGTTTATCTTGACAAAAATCACAATAAAGTTTTGTTCAACTTTATACATACATTGCAATAGGAATAAGTAATCAAAGTTGCATTTTGGGGATTGTGCCCATGTCCAATATAACCCCTTTTCAAGCACTAGAAGGAGTAAATTGGTAGGATCATGGTACGATTGGATATCACAACCCGGACCAGTTCAACCACAAAACAATCCACCACTTTGCAAGCACTAGGAGTAAAATTGGTAGGATCATGGTATGATTAGATATTACAACCCGGACCAGTTCAACCCCAAAACAATCCTTCCTACTTCCTAGACTAAACCATAGTGTCAAGTCGTCAACCCTGGGTGTTAGTTCTAGTTTAAGTATTAGAGATGGAGCACACAAAATATTACATGTATTCCAAGTTCAAACACTGAGCTAAGTGAATTGCGAAATGTACCTTCGGAGTTGCACGATCAACAACAACTGTTGTGCCATCAATCTCATGATTTTCTTGCATGACATTGTCCACGCACTCTACAAATTACAGTTGAAAGTTACAAACTAAAGCTAAACAGGTTGTTGAGGAACACTATTACTCGTGGTAAATGGTGAAGCAAATGGAAGTTCCAAGAATAATTTAGGAATGCAGCTTCCAAATTAAAATCAAATCCTAGCTCATGCCTCATGCACAAGTGAAGTAGATGAGAACAAATAAGCACTTAGGCAGAAGAATGTAAGATCGTAGATCTGAGTCAAAACTCTAGTTACAAAACAGACAATAATCAGTTAAAAATGTAAGCTAGTGCGGGCATTGCTGCTACAAACCTACTGCGTGAATTTAAGGTTATGGGTGATGGTGAAATTCATAGGGGGTCTTGCTGTACTGCGGCGGCACTACAAGCACCAGTCCCACCATTATATTGCTATAGTACAAAGGCAATGTTCTTGCATCACATGGAAGACCAAAGTTATACTCCCCTGATCCAAATTAATTGACACATCCTCTATACAATGTGCATACAAATTAATTAGGATCGGAGGGAGTAACATTATTCCTCTATTTAGTTCAATCTGACCTACCAACGTATTAATTAAATAAACGTCTCTTAGAAGATTCTATACACGTACCTGCACTCCGGAAAGTGACAAAGCCAATTCCACGATGTTCTTTTGAACCCAGTTCCTGCACGAGATTGGTGGGAGAACAAAACCCATGTTAGCAGAAGCATCTTGACTCAAACTGCAATTTCTCTGTAGAATATTTTGGACATAATCATGGAATGGTTGCATCAAAGAGGTGGCCAGCAAATAAAAAAAGATATTACAGGGACTAGAAAATAAAGGAAATTGGGCATGTGAAAATCCAATTCCACCCGTCTTGTCTATTCTAACTAAAGTGATGCAAGCGAGCTGACCAGACTCCTCAACAGGCTGTATGCTTTCACAGGTGTCTAGCGGTAGACAAGTCTGTAAGCTTGAACCCTCATCTATGTCCATCACAATAATCTGGGTTTGTTAGATATGGAAGCTCCAAAGACTAGATGAAAAATCATTCTAACTTCTAAGAAAAGTTGTCTCAAAGATTCTTAAGTTATACTGGACGAATCTCTCTTCAACAGTACACACTTGACAAATCAAGGCACTGTGTCTTGTCAGGTGTTCAAAACTAATCAAACACGTGTGGGGGAAGTAGCTTGACCATAGTATAACAGGTTTATGCAGCAACAACAACAACAACAAAGCCTTTAGTCCCAAACAAGTTAAGGTAGGCTATATAACAGGTTTATGCGTTCAATTATATTGAAATATGTCCTAAAGATGCTTGCACAGCATCAATTTTAATTGTCAGTCAAAAGAAAACTAGAACATTCTTTGGTATTTGCCTCCTTGAGTGATCGTGAATGGCCAGGAAAGGTGTAAAGTCATTAAATCAGTAATTTGGTGATCTTTAACGTGAAAAGTAACTTCCACTAAAACAGTGCAAACGTTGGCTGGAAATATCTTCAATGTACTATCAAAAAAGAGAAGGTAGCAGATATTAACATACAGAAAATTGATGCCAATCAGCAACTGTTTTTGTTGTTTGTATATTACCACAGTTTTAGTAAATACACTAACATGAACAAAACGAGATGACAGCACCTCGATCTAGAATATTATATATCTCGTATCAGCTTAATTTCCTCACCTTGGGCATATAAAGATCTGTTATTTCTCCAAAAGTTTGAAAATGCCTGTTCAAACAATCTCAATGCTTAGACAAGTTCATATATTGAAGGTTGCGTAGATCAACAATGGCAAAACATGTACTGGAGCTCACCTGCGAAACATTGACTCATCCACAGACTGTGGAATCCGAGCAACAAATATCCTGGTAGCTTTCTTGTTTCCTGGAGCTCGCATTTCTTCCTGTGTTTAGCACTCATCACATCGTTACCAAAAAAGGCAAGCAAAGGTCTGGCACTGAAGATCTGTCGTATGCTGCATATGGTAGATGAGATTTTCCACTTTTTGCTAATATTTACCTTGGGAGTCGCTATCTTCACTTCCAGAGTTCGGTCTCCAAGAATATGCTCAGAGTTAACAACATTCTAAAAAATAGTACACAGAGAATCGGAGTTAATAGAGGCGACAGGAGAGAATCATATATAACTAAACTAGTCAAAAGATGCCATCAAATCATATCCTAATCACTTCTCAAAACTTTCTTCATTCAGTTGACTAAAGCATGACCAGGACAAAGGAAAATGTATTGGTTTGCTCAGAAATGTCTGTATTTCCGGCACACTGCCTCTGTTCCAAAATACAAGGTATATTAGCTTTTTCTAGAAGTCAAACTTTTCTATATTTGACCAATGTTTATGATTTGGTAATGTGGTTATTGATATTTTTTCTCTATAAACTTGGTCAAACATAAAGAAATTCGACTATCAGAAAATTAATACACCTTATATTTTGGAATGAAGGGAGTATTGTTGACGGCTAGAACACTGATAAAGTACCCATCTAGAACTAACAATTTTTTGTTAGTTTAACATTTACTGTTATACTTTAGATAGTGTTAAATATGATTGGTTTGAGCGAAGCAATAGCATGTATTAAGTGACTAGTTGCCCATTTTCTTTAAATGGTTGATAAACAAGCAAGATGCCACTACAGGACGTTAAAACTGAGGAGAACCTCACACTCGGTGGGGTCAACTAGATGTACAGTATACAACCACAAGAGAGGTAAAAACAAAAAGATCTTTGTCGCAAAAGGCAATGTAGAGGTTAGTTATGTACGTTGTCAAGGAATGAAACGTAAACAATAGAGAGTAAGCATTACCATTTGCCACTGGCCTCAGATAAGATGCAATTAAAGTCCTAATAAACCGAAGGGATTCCCGTTTATTACCTTTGCATCCTCTACTGACGAAAACGTCACGTATCCAAAACCACGAGATCGACCAGATGAGCGATCCTGACATTTTGTAAAGGTACAAAACATGTTGGTAAATTATTAGATTGGAAATGAGCAATAAAACATGATTTGAATAAAAAATGATGTAGCCCATGAAGAAACAAAATTCAGTCGTCCCTTGAAGAAACAAATGACATAATAGAGAAAGATAAAAACACAAAGTCAAACTTGTTTTGATTGCAATAAGAACAATATCCATGTGTGCCTTTGCGAGATTGAGGGCAGACCATCAATTAGACAAGAGACAGTTCAGTTTTCAACGTTGCTTAAAAAAAGATGAATATTAAGTATAAACTTATTTGAAACATCAGCGCTGAAAAATTGAGGAACGACACAAGAAAGACTATGCCTCATCAAATTGATAGCGGATGTTGAATTGTCACAAACCTTCATAACAATGCAATCATCCAGGGGGCCAAACTTGCTCATGTACTCTTTTAATCCTTCTGTATCCACATCCCAGGGGATTCCAAGAACCTAAGCGCATGAAGTGCTCACCCTTGTTACTCCTGGAGGAAGGCATCCCTAAAATAGATCTCGTGAAATGAAAAAAGGATTAGTAACTAACCACAAGCTTTGAAGCCATGCTATCACTACGCTCCTCTCCTGTACTTCTCAGGCCAAGAAAACTCCCGATCTATGCTTCTTCAGCGACACCCGGGTGTTGCTCTTATCGAGCTATGTGTCCAAAGGAAAAGGTTCCCAAGCCTGAGACTCTCCCCTCACTCTTGAGGCTGGACTGGCGACCTCCACTCTTTATCGATCTCACTCAGCTCACGGTAGTAACTAGTAAAACAATGGTAAAAGTTACTCGATTAGTACTTCAACATCTATGGCATGAAGAACAGTAGCAGCATGTTGTTATAATTATCACTCGTCTACAGTAAAAACAAAGGTAGAGAAAACTAAAACACAGGGCAATGGGGACAGGAGGAACGCGGTGTCCCCGGCGGGATTGAGGCGTCGGCGATAACGCTAAGGTAGGTCACAGGATTCAGGCGGAAGGGGAAGCAAAGGTACACGGGATAGTAGGGTTCGGCTCTGGATGGACATGATGTATATAGAAGAACTAATCAGGATAAAATCGCGTCGCAATTTTCAAACCATCGAGAAATTCCAAATCTGACGGCGCGTCAAGCCATCTTCTTGGAGGGCCTAAATCTCGAATTGCTCCGAGGAAGAGGCTGAATTCCCTGGCGCGGAAACCCACGGGGCAGGAACGGACCTACGTCTCGCGGAACGAAGGGGGGGGAGAGGTGGGAAGAGGGACGCACCTGACGAGGAAGAGGAAGAAGAAGGAGATTACGGCGGCGGAGAGGCCAGGTCGATGGATCGCCCCTGGCTCCGAGACTGAGGAGAGAGGACGGGGTCGGGGAGCAGATTTGGGTCTTTGTCAGCAGAAGAAGAAATCAGGTTACGGATTAATGTGGCGGTGTGCACCCAGGTCCTTCGTACAATTCAAATTTATAGTCTACCCCAATTACAATCGTTTCTTTTCTTTCTTTTTTTGCGGGTCTACTATACCAACTTTTATTTACTTCCAAAAAAAACTTTTATATTGCTGCAAAGCACCATCATCCACAAGACCACCACGAGGCCAAAAACTATCTAACAACAAAATCCGCCTGCTTATGGTGCCACGTTGGTATGTGATAGTTAGGGTTTTTCCAAAGTTTTAAAACGCATAGGAGGATTTCGTGGGCGGCTCTCAGCTGCCATAGTGTGCAATATCGGCGATTGAGGCAATTCTCTAGTGGGGATAGATGATTTAGAGGATGTTATTGAATTTGGCTCGTTTAGCGAGACTTTTATACGATTTTGCATTGGTTACCATATCATGGCGTCCAGGCTTCCCGGCGGCAATGCTAACGTGATCATGACGATTTCGCAGGCGATTTAAAAATTGTGATTTTCCCTCATCTTCTTGCACTATGGTCGGCTATCCCCACCACGACCATACCAGTCACCGCGAATTATAACTACATGCGGTCGCTAGGTAGTCGAGGCATGCCCGCTCGACATTGCTCATCGGTTATTGCCCACTAAAGTCAAACTTGATACGTTGTGACCAAAGCCTAACATGGATCAAAACTTTTCTTGTCTTTCCTACCCATATGCAAATCAATCAAATCTTATCAAAACCTAGAATATTATGGGTATAAGATTTATGTTGGACATCATGGGTGTTGAACCATTAGAATATGTATACCCTCATTCGAACGCACACAGTTTGGATTTTTAGACTTTCACAGCTACTTCAAGTAATCGTTATATGAATCAATATGTGTAGTGTATGTTTAAAATACCATAACCTGTTACACGGTAGGAGAATAAAGTGAATAGAATTTATTTGTTGCATGTTACACTGAAACTACTTAAGAGTAACGTTGGGGCAGCACACAATTGATTTTTCATGTGATGAAGTTTAATAGTGTTGTGGTGGTACAAATTTATATTGACATGCTAGTTCAATCCTAGGGGAGGATCAGACTATGGATTCATATCCTACATGCAATCTAAAAAAAGATCATTTTTCAGTTAGTCATTTGCTAAACATAGCAACCAATTTAGCCACTCAAAATCTGGTGTGTTTTGTAGTTAGATTATAATCTATTTTTTCAAACAAAATTGTACCTTATTCACTGACTAATTTTGCATAGCAGATAACAAAATAAATCTAAGCAAGGCCACAATGCAGAAAGTTAACCAGTTTGATAGTTTCTACATGCGGTCACACGACGGGCATATGTACACAAATGCCATAAAGCTTTGAGACACCAAATTTACAATAGCCAACGAAGGAGATAACTTAGCAAAAGTAAGTATAGGTTCGGCCACTAAACTATGAAGTTGAGGCACATCAGAGAGATTCTGCAAAAGGGGGCGCCTCAAGATCAACCTCTTGCCTCATGACACAGGTCATGAGCCACTCACTGCTGAATGTCTTTATGCCTCTTTTTGATGCATCCATTGCAAGCTCCATGCCTTCTTCACATGCCAAGAATATTGTCTTTGAGGGCTCATCTATGTCATCCAGCTTACTGATGATCTGCAACGTAAATAGATGTGGATAGACTTTAGAATAGCTTGTGTAATTATGTTCTCTTAGGAACTAACAATAGAAACATTCCAAATGATGGACTCATGCAAATTTTGGAATTGACCCAAAATTATTCTCAAGAGCTTACTAGTAATGTCATCTAGTCAATACTTGCAATTTAAGTGTCATCTGTATGTAAGCAAATCATTTTAAAACATTTTCCATAAATAAAACCACATGTCTAGGGATATAAGTTTGCACTTGAACTTCAATGGTGACATGTGTTATTTAAAGATGTTGGAGCAGAACTTCATGCCTCACATAATAGAGCGTAGAAATTGGAATGCCCTTAAATATTTCACAGAAATAGGACCTCCAGGTTCTAAAATGTTTCGTCGGATGGTAATTGGATAAGTTCTGCTAAATCTGTAACATGTTCAAGAAGTTTGGCCATACATGAGTTTCACATGACAGGATGATCTTTAGTTACCTTGCCACCAGAGGATTTGATAACTGGAGAGAGGACACCAGGAGAGGGTTCGATGTGCTTGGTCAAACAGAAAGTGTAGCCAGAAAATAACAAGCAAGGCCTCTCTTTAGCCCTCATAACCGCATCTCTCATTTCAGACTTGTACTTCATCTTATATTCTTCATCATCCAGAACATGTTCTGCTTCACCTACGAAACAGCACAAAAGTGCAAGATAAGAAAACAGCATAAGTTGTTCTTTGCTCACACATTTCATTTCTTCCATTGCACAGAAACAAATGGCAATAATTGGTCACCTAGCCATCTCAAGTTTTGACTCACCTACAAATTTCCCTTGTTTGAAGCTCTGTTTCAGCCAGTTTGGAGAAACTATCCAAGCCCTGCAATCAGTATATGGCCCAGTCAACTGAAAACTATTACTCCACGGTGAGTACTATGCTTCAACAACTATATGTGAAATGCAATTCAGTGTAAAACAAGGAATGGAAATTGTATTATAGTTTGAAACGTGATGAACTGGATTGTTTAAGGAAAATGTAGATGAAAACTAACCCAGAACTTAAAGCAATACAAAAGTTCATAGTCCTTCGAGCTTTTCCAGTAACGACATGTGTGCATGAACTTCCTTCACAGGTAACAACTCCCCCGAGCATTTCAACTACCTGCACCATAATTCAAAACCCAACACATATTTAGAAGCAAGAAAAATAACTAAATTAGTGCAAAAAAAGAGTATGAACTTCTTTCTGAAAGAAAAATAGACTGCAGTTTTCGTCAGTGCACCAGTGAAAATTTCTTTGGTAAGCACATACTCATACACTGCTTTATTTTCGAAATGCCGCTCACATTTACTCAAAAGTAAGAGTAAAGTTTATGTAGGAATTACCTCTGTAAGCCGCATCTTCTTTGTTTCATCTGCAATATTCATGAGCATAACTGAAGGCCTTCCATTGGAACAGGTAGTGGCCTTAGCATCTCCTGATATTTTGTTGTCAACGTGGACTACCATACTAGGAGCCAAAGGTGTGCTATTTATGGATAGAGATTTGTCACAGATACCATTATGTCTCATGTCTTGTGTATGGTCAGCGTGACCGCTGCATCTTACTCTTTTTGACTTCAGTGAAGAAGATGAGGATTCATATGTCCGTTTCTTTGGTTGTTGATCAGATAATGAGCATCCTTCACTACCAGCAGAAGCTTCATTTCTTACCACCTTTGCAGTCTTGCTGACTTTGTCACATCCAGTGGTCTGGGGAGACAACTTTTCACAGGAGGGAACTACAGTATCCATATCACCAGGAGAGATGCCTGGAAAATTATCACAGAAGATGAGTATTAGACATGTCACAGAAATTTTCTGCATATGCACCGATGCTTATATGATTTAGCCAGGTGTGTTGTCGCTGTTCCTAAGGTTGAATGAAATCAAACTTGATAAACCAATAAGTTACAGACTTGTCCAGTACTATTGCAATGTATGAATAATAGTTGTAGCGTAATATATGCTCAAAATTTCAGCTTTACGTTCTTTGCACAACTTCCATTGTTAATTCGCTAAATTAACGCACTGCAATCCGCACAATAAAAGATTTTCTTTGAGCAAATAAATGAACCATTGCATTGGATATATATTGACATGCCAATTCTCTATGGCCAGACCGTGTATCATTGCTCCTGTGTGGCCAGACTATGTATATCATGGTTCCTCCTACTTTATAATTTTTTAGTGGAGTTCTTAACTATCCAACTTGGATATAAAGTGATGATCAATTCTACTGGAATTAGTGGCTCTGAGGTATCTGAACCTGAAAATTTACATAATTATGACTTCATGAAGACTTACTATCTGGTACCACGGCATGCAGCTGAGAAGTTTGTGGTTCTGCCAGTGAGTTTTTGGACGTGGTTGGCAAATCCTTCTTAATATGTGTAACCATAAGCATTGAACTGCCTGGAAAGCATAATGCTCTCTTGATATCAGCCCTTACTGGAATTCTGCGAATCTTACCTTTAGTATCCACCTCTCCAACAGACACAAAACCCTGCAATGCACT